TCCAGCAGCCAAGGGGCTCTGTTGCATTGTTACATTAAGTAGTTAAAATAGCCATAGTGTCAAATATTTCTGCTGTTGGTGTTCTGTTTGATACTCCGTCTTTGTCCTCCAGAGTAATAATAAATAAATAAATAGTGTGTTACTATTCTAACTGGTAATAAACTATCTAATAAACATGTCTGGCCTAAAGATTCAAATCATCCGCTGTGGTTTTTACAACTTTTCCAAAATATTAATGAATAACGTCTAACAAGTTCCCCAGTAGTAAAACACAACAACAGCTGCAGAAGCTTTTCAAACGGTTGAGCAAGAAGAGACAAGCGTGATATTTTCCCTGAGTCTGTGTCTGCGCTGTGTGTGTGTGTGTGTGTGTGGTGTGGTGTGGTGTGTTTGTGTGTGTGTGTGTGGTCTCTGTGTGTGTGTGTCTCTGTGTGTGTGTGTCTCTGTGTGTGTGTGTCTCTGTGTGTGTGTGTCTCTGTGTGTGTCTGTGTGTGTCTCTGTGTGTGTGTGTGTGTGTGTGTGTCTGTGTGTGTGTGTGTGTGTGTGTGTGTGTGTGTGTGTGTGTGTGTGTGTGTCTCTGGTGTGTGTGTGTGTGGTGTGTGTGGGTGTCTGTGTGTGTCTGTGTGTGTCCTCTGTGTGTGTGTGTGTGTGTGTGTGGTCTGTTGTGTGTGTGTGTGTGTGTGTGGTGTGTTGTGGGTGTTTGTGTGTGTGTGTGTGTGTAGGGCATAGGTTTAGTCTGACCGAGGGCTGAGGGTTGTGTCCCTAGGGCTGAGGGCTGTGTCCCTAGGGCTGAGGGCTGTGTCCCTAGGGCTGAGGGTTGTGTCCCTAGGGCTGAGGGTTGTGTCCCGAGGGCTGAGGGTTGTGTCCCGAGGGCTGAGGGTTGTGTCCCTAGGGCTGAGGGCTGTGTCCCTAGGGCTGAGGGCTGAGGGCTGTGTCCCTAGGGCTGAGGGTTGTGTCCCTAGGGCTGAGGGTTGTGTCCCTAGGGCTGAGGGTTGTGTCCCTAGGGCTGAGGGCTGTGTCCCTGGGGCTGAGGGTTGTGTCCCTAGGGCTGAGGGTTGTGTCCCTAGGGCTGAGGGCTGTGTCCCTAGGGCTGTGGCGGTCAAGACATTCTGTCAGCCGGTTATTGTCACGCAAAATACTGCCGGTCTCACGGTAATTGACCGTTAATTAACATAAAAATGTTTAGCATCTCAAGGCCTCCACACATCACATTGTATTTGCCACATGCGCCGAATACAACAGGTGTAGACCTTACAGTGAAATGCTTACTTACAAGCCTTTAACCAACAACGCAGTTTTAAGAAAAATAAGCGTTAACTAAAAAATAGATCACTCAAAAATAAAAAATAAAACATAATTAAGAGAGCATAAAATAACAGTAGTAGGCTATATACAGGGAGTTACCGGTATCAAGTCCATGGGAAATAACAGTAGGGAGGCTATATACAGGGATGTACCGGTACAGAGTCAGTGGGAATCACAGTAGGAGTCTATATACAGGGGGTACCGGTACAGATTCAATGGGAAATAACAGTAGGGAGGCTATAACGGGGGTACCCGGTACAACAGATTCATGGGAATAACAATAGGGAGGCTATAATACAAAGGGGGGCCCGGTTACAGAGTCAATGGGAAAATAACAGTAGGGAGCTATATAACCAGGGGGACCGTACGAGTCAAATGGAAATAAACAGTAGGGAGGCTATATACAGGGGGTACCGGTACACAGAGTCATGTGCGGGGCAAACCGGCTTAGTCGCGTACTTGAGGTAATATTACATGTAGGTAGAGTTAAAGTGACTATGCATCGTAAATAAACAGAAGCAATGACTCAGTTTCAAATCTGTGTTGAACTTCTTTCTCTTTAAACTTGATCACATCAACGTGAGGTGAGTTTTAAAAGCCCATACCGTTTTCATGTTTTTTTTCGATTTTCATTTCATTGATGTCAGGAGTGGTTAGAGGGACAATCGGCCCTGAGTACCAGGCCCTTAGGACTGATGGTTAGAGGGAACAATGAGCCCTGAGTACCAGGCCATTTAGGAACCTGATGGTTAGGGGCCAATAGAGCCCTGGTACCGGCCATTAGGACTGATGGTTAGATGGACAATAGAGCCCCTGATACCAGGCCATTAGGACCTGTGGTTAGAGGGACAATAGAGCCCCTGAGTACCAGGCCTTAGGAACCTGATGGTTAGAGGGACAATTAGACCCTGATACCAGGCCATTAGGACCTGGGTTAGAGGGCCAATAGAGCCCTGAGTACCGGCCATAGGACCCGATGGTTAAGAGGGACAATAGAGCCCTGAGTACCAGGCCATTAAGACCTGAAAGGGTTAGAGGGACAATAGATCCCCTGATTACCGATCCATTATGACCTGTTATTGTTATCGTTAACACTATATCCCCCTTCTTACCATTCCATTTTAGGACCTGATGGTTAGCAGGGACAATAGAGCCCCCCTGAGTATCCAAATGATGCCATTATTTGTTTCCCTATATGTTTAACTTTACAATCTACTTTCCCCTTATGTCCAGGCATTAGGACCTGATGGTTAGAGGACAATAGAGCCCTGAGTACCAGCATTAGGACCTGTGTTAGAGGGCCCTAGGCCCTGAGTACCAGGCCATTAGGACCTTGATGGTTAGAGGGACACTAGAGCCCTGATACCAGGTGCCATTTAGGGCCCTGATGGTTAGAGAGGGACAATAAGCCCTGCGTACCAGGCCATTAGGACTGATGGTTGAGGGACAATAGAAGAAGAAGAGAGAGGCCCAGCCCCACTGCCCGTCCCCAGCCCCCCACCTGAGTTACCGGGCGTTAGGACCCTGATGGTTCGAGAGAGGGACAATAGAGCCCTGAGTACCAGTCCATTAGGACCTGATGGTTAGAGTGGACAATAGAGGCCCTGAGTACCAGGCCATTAGACCTGATGGTTATGGGACACAAGTAGAGCCCTGAGTACGCAGGCCATTAAAGGACCTGATGGGGGGGGGGGGGGTTTAAGGGACCATAGAACCCTGAAGTACCATTTTTACATTTTAAAGTCATTTTAGCAGACGCTCTTATCCAGAGCGCTTACAGTTAGTGAGTGCATACATTTTTCATACCGGCATACCAGGCCATTAGGACCTGATGGTAGTTGGGTAGTTGGGTTCTGCCAAGGCATGTCCAGAGCATAAGAGGAGATTACCGTGACTCAATGGTCAGTGGAATTTACTGTGGTCATGACTCACTGCTTGCCGTTGTAAACACGCTGCAACTCAGAGTCTGCAAAATAAACACGCACGCAACTACTAATTAGTCAGCCAGCTGTGCATTATAGTGTGTATTATGGTGTGTATTATAGTGTGTATTATAGTGTGTATTATGGTGTGTATTATGGTGTGCATTAACTGCTCAAATGGTTAAGGCATTATTATGTGTGTCTTCCTGGTGTGTATTCTGGTGTGTATCTCTGGTTTGGTATCTGGGTGTGTATTTCTTACTGTGTGTATTATAGTGTGTATTATGGTGTGTATTATGGTGTGCATTATGGCATGTATTATGGTGTGTTACATGGTGTGATCTTTGGTGTGTAATTATGGTGTGTACTTCTCGTGTGTCTTCTGTGTGTCTTATGTGCTGCATTAATGGCCTGTAAATTCTGTGTGTTTCCGGTGTGTCTTTCTGGTGTTCTTCCCTGGTGCTGTATTCTGGTGTTCTTCTGGTGTGTCTTCTGTGTGTGTTCTCCTTGGGTCTTCTCTTGGTAGTATTCTCGCTGTGTCTTCTGGTGTGTTCTTCTGTGGCCTTCTGGCCATGTCTTTCTGGGCTGTGTCTTCCTGGGCTGTGTCTTCTGGTGTGTCTTCCTGGTGTGTCCTCTCCTGGTGGTGTCCTTCTCGTCGTGTCCCTATCCCACTGGTGCTGCCCTTCTGCGCCTGTTTCTTTGTGTCTTCCCCGGTGGTGTCTTACCCTGGTGTGTATCTGGTGTGTCTCTCCCTGGTGTGTCGTTGGTGTGGGGTCTTCTGGTGTGTCTCTTGCGTGACTGGTCCTTCCTGTTGTGTGTTCTCCGTGTGTCTTCTGGTGTGCCTTCTGGGTGCCTTTCTGGTGTGTCTTTCTGGTGTGTCTTATGGTGTGGTTTCCTACGTGTTTCTTCTCGTGTGTCTTCCCCCTGGTGTGTGTCTCTCTTGTGTCTTCTCGTGTTGTCATTCCCTGGTGTGCTTCTCGTGTGTCTTCTCGTGTGCCTGTTTAATCACCTTGTGTCTTCTGTGATTCTTCTCCGTGTGGTTTGTTTGGTGTGTGTTTTCCCCGATCCCTCCCCTCCTCCGTCCTTCTTTTTTCTTTCTCCACTCATCTACCTCCTGCATCTTTTCCCCTTCTACATCCGTTTTCTTTCACTCTTGATATCTCATCAGCATATTCTCTCTTTTCCACTCCTTTCTTTCACATGGACTTTTTGCACCCCTTTTGCCTTTTTCCCCGGCCGTGGGGGCTGTGGGGCCTTATTTAATTTGGTCGTTCTGGCTGTCGGGACGTACGGGTTCCTTCCACTTGGGGGTCATTTCTCGGTTGACGGGTCGACGTCTGCTTTCAGCTTCGGGCGGCAGGATTCCTGGTGCTGCTACTTCTGGCTGCATCACAGTTCCGTATCATGCTCTCTGTCTGTTATCGTTCTACGATGCTTTGCTGTGATAGAGGCATGGTCTTAATAGCTTATATATTCTTATATATCTTTTATATTCTATTATAATATATCTAGATAGATCTGTAGATATCTTAGATATCTTTTATAATATCTTATATATATCTTATAGAATCTGATATATCTTATATCTCTGCTCGTATATATCTTTAATGATATCTTATAAATATCTTATATACCTCTTCATCTATATCTTATATATGCTTATCATGATATCTTACTATAATCTCTTCTCTCTCTCTTCACCTCTCTCTCTCTCTGCTTCTCTCTCTCTTCGTCTCATCTTCTCTCCTCTCTTCATACTGATCTTCATCCTAGCTAGATCTCATCTTCATCTATCTTAGTATAGTAGCTTCTCTCATAGCTGATGAGAGCTGAGAGAGCTGATAGAGCTGCAGAGAGCTGATAGAGATCTTGAGGATATCTTCAGAGATCTAGATATAGTAAAAGACTGATGAAGAGAGCTGAGAAGGCTGGACGAGAGCTTAAGAGAGCTGAGAGAGCTGAGAGGAGCTGAAGAGAGCTGGGAGAGCTGAGAGAGAGCTTGAGAGGCTACGAGGACGCTTGAGAGGCTGAGAGGAGATCTGATAGAGCTGAGAGATCTGAGAGAGGAGCTGAGACTGAGCCTGAGGAGAGCTAGAAGAGCTGAGAGAGAGCTGAGAGAGCTGAGAGAGATCTTGAGCAGAGCTGAGAGAGCTGATAGAGAGCTTGAGCAGGAGGCTGAGAGAGAGCTGAGAGAGAGCTGAGAGAGCTGAGAGGAGCTGAGGAGAGCTGAGAGAGAGCGAGAGAGAGCTGAGAGAGCTGAGAGAGACTGAGAGAGCTGAGAGATAGCTGAGAGAGAGCCTGGAGAGAGCTGAGAGAGATGAGAGGAGAGCTGGAGAGAGGGCTGAGAGAGCGGAGAGAGCTGAGAGAGCTTGATAGGAGCGGAGAGGAGATCTTGAGAGAGCTAGAGAGCTTGAGAGGAGAGCTGAGAGAGGCTGAGAGAGAGCTGGAGGAGAGACTGAGAGAGCTGAGAGAGAGCTGAGATAGAGTGAGAGAGAGCTGAGAGAAGTCGCTGAGAGGAGAGAGCTGAGGAGAGCTGAGAGGAGAGCTTGAGAGAGAGCTGAGAGAGAGCTGAGAGAGAGCTGCAGAGAGCTGAGAGAGATGAGAGAGCTGAGAGAAGAGAGGCTGAGAGAGCTGAAGAGGAGCTGAGAGAGAGCTGAGAGAGAGCCTGAGAGAGAGCTGAGAGAGCTAGAGAGAGCTGAGAGAGAGCTGATAGAAGAGCTGAGAGAGCTGAGAGAGAGCGAGAGAGCTGGAGAGAGAGCTGAGAGAGCTGTAGAGAGCTGAGAGAGAGAGCTGAAGAGAGCTGAGAGAGAGCTGGAGAGAGCGAGAGAGAGCTGAAGAGAGCTGAGAGAGCTGAGAGAGAGCTGAGAGAGCTGAGAGAGAGCTGAGAGAGAGCTGAGAGAGCTGAGAGAGAGCTGAGAGAGAGCTGAGAGAGCTGAGAGAGCTGAGAGAGAGCTGAGAGAGCTGAGAGAGCTGAGAGAGCTGAGAGAGAGCTGACAGAGAGCTGAGAGAGAGCTGAGAGATAGCTGAAGAGAGCTGAGAGAGAGCTGAGAGGCTGAGAGAGACTGAGAGAGAGCTGATGAGAGCTGAGAGAGAGCTGAGAGAGAGCTGAGAAGAGAGCTGAGAGATCTGGAGAAGCTGAGAGAGCTGAGAGAGAAGGCTGAGAAGAGAGCTGAGAGAGATGAGAGAGAAAAGCTGAGAGAGAGCTGATAGAGCTGAATAGAGAGCTAGAAGAGAGCTGAGAGAGCTATAGATAGCTGAGAGAGCTGATATGAGCTGAAGAGAGAGCTGAAGAGAGCTGAAAGAGATCTGAGGAGAGCTGAGAGAGAGCTGAGAGAGAGCTGAGAGAGCTGAGAGAGCTGAGAGAGAGCTGAGAGAGCTGATAGAGAGCTGAGAGAGCATGAGGCGAGCTGATAAGAGCTGAGAGAGAGCTGAGGAGCTGAGAGAGAGCTGAAGAGAGCTTGAGAGATAGCTGAGAGAGCTGAGAGAGACTGAGATAGAGCTGAGAGAGAGCTGAGAGAGAGATGAGAGAGCTGCGAGAGAGCTGAGAGAGCTGAGAGAGAGCTGACGAGAGCTGAAGTAGAGCTGAGGAGAGCTGCGAGAGAAGCTGGAGAGAGAGCTGAGAGAGCTGAGAGAGAGCTGAGAGAGAGCTGAGAAGAAGCTGAGAGAGCTGGGAGAGACTGAGAGAGGCTGAGAGCGAGCTGAGAGAGAGTGAGAGAGCTGAGAGAGAGCTGAGCAGAGAGAGCTGAGAGCGAGCCGCGAGAGCTGAGAGAGCTGAGAGAGAGCTGAGAGAGCTGAGAGAGCTGAGAGAGAGCTGAGAGAGAGCTGAGAGAGAGCTGAGAGAGAGCTGAGAGAGCGGAGAGAGAGCTGAGAGAGCCGAGAGAGAGCTGAGAGAGCTTGAGAGCGCTGCGAGAGAGCTGAGAGAGTCTGAGAGCGAGCTGAGAGAGAGCTTAGAGAGCTGGAGATAGCTGAGAGAGAGCTGAAGAGCGGAAAGAGCTGAAGAGCCGAAGAGAGATCTAGAGAGCTGAGCGAGCTGATAGAGAGCTGAGAGAGCTGAGAGAGAGCGAGAGCGAGCTGAGAGAGAGCTGAGAGAGAGCTGAGAGAGAGCTGAGAGAGAGCTAAGAGAGAGCTAAGAGAGCTGAGAGAGAGCTTGAGAGAGAGCTGAGAGAGAGCTGAGAGAGCTGAGAGAGAGCTGAGAGAGCTGAGAGAGCTAAGAGAGCTGAGAGAGAGCTGAGAGAGAGCTGAGAGAGAGCTGAGAGAGAGCTGAGAGAGAGCTGAGAGAGCTGAGAGAGAGCTGAGAGAGAGCTGAGAGAGAGCTGAGAGAGCTGAGAGAGAGCTGAGAGAGCTGAGTTCTTTGCAATATATGTTCATTTCATTTTAGCCATTTTGAATTGCATTTATCAGACATTTTGAATGTTTATATGGAAATGTTGTTAGATCACTTGGACATATGATTCATCCTTGTTTATTGTCATAATGTGTATAGATTTCTCCTCTTTCACGCATTGCTGGAACTTTTGGCTACCAGCTTTGTGCCTTGGAGCCTACTTGAAAAAGTAACCGTAATAATATTACAATCATTAAAGAAGTAACTAATTATATTACTCCTTTACAGTACTTTTAAATACAGTACTTTTAAATACAGTACTTTTACCCCAACACTGGTCCTAAGTGATTCTGTTTCAATTTGTCTATTTTTCCACATTAAGACTTTGAGATGAAACTCTGTGTTGTTTTGGTATAACTGGCATCATCATTGGTTAAATGGTCAATGTGAGAAAGTACAGACATTCTGTAAATATACATATTTCTGATATTCTGAGAATATAGCAACCATTATTTATTTTATTTTATTTGACCTTTATTTAACCAGGTAAGCCAGTTGAGAACAAGTTCTCATTTACAACTGCGACCTGGCCAAGATAAAGCAAAGCAGTGCGATAAAAACTACAGCAACACAGAGTTACATATGGGGTAAACAAAACATAAAGTCAAAAATACAACAGAAAATATATATACAGTGTGTGCAAATGTAGTAAGTTATGGAGGTAAGGCAATAAATAGGCCATAGTGCAAAATAATTACAATTTAGTATTAACACTGGAGTGATAGATGTGCAGAACATGATGTGCAAATAGAGATACTGGGGTGCAAATTAGCAAAATAAATAACAATATGAGGTGGTTGGGATGAGGTAGTTGGGTGGGCTAATTACAGATGGGCTGTGTACAGGTGCAGTGATCCATGTTCTGGATATGTTTCTATCAGAAGCAACACTACCACACTTCGATAACAAATGAATGTCCAGATAGAAATGCAATGACGAAAGATGGTGTGATTCTTTATCAGACACATGAGTGTTCTACATGGTATATGTGGTGTGGATAACAAGAAGACGACAGAGAGTTCTCTTTGAGATGCTCAGCTATCTAGAATTCTACCTATTCCCATCTTGTAAATTAGATCAGGTCGGTGTGTTGTAACTATTGCCAAATAATGACATTAAGAAAGTTTTCATACCCCTTGATTTATTCCACATTTTGTTGTGTTACAGCCTGAATTCAAAATGAATTAAATATATATTTTTGTACCCATCGACACTCAATACCCCATAATGACAAAGTGAAAACGTGTTAAAAATTTTTTTTGCAAATGTATTTAAATGAAATACAGAAATATCTAATTAATGTAAGTATTCACACCCCTGAGTCAATATTTTGTAAAAGCACATTGGCAGTGATTACAGCTGTGAGTCTTTCTGGGTAAGTCTCTAAGAGCTTTCCACACCTGGATTGTGCAACATTTGCCCATTATTCCTTTAAAAATTCTTCAAAATGGTTGTTGATCATTGCTAGACAACCATTTTCAGGTCTTGCCATAGATTTTCAAGTAGATTTAACCTTTCACTGCAGGGCTAAATCAGGGTCACACATAGTGTTTCTTGGTAGTCTTAAACAAATCTACTTTGAAACAAGAGTACACACCTCACACACATGGTTATGGACTTAAAGAAAGAAGACTCCTGTACCATGTCAGATATAGAATTGAAATGTATTACATTTTGAGTTTGCGTCCCAATATTACACTTTATATACACCACAGAAGACTGAAATATAACAGAACAGTTTGACATAGAAATTATTTTTTTAAATTATGAAATTATGAATAATATTAATAACATTCCACCCATGAGGCCATTAGGTAATTTGACTGAAGGAAAGGGCTACGTCAAAATTGTAACTCGGCCACCCAGAAACATTCACGGTCTTCTTGGTAAGCAACTCCAGTGTAAATTTGGCCTTGTGTTTTAGGTTAATGTCCTGCTGAAAGGATAATTAATTTCCCAGTGTCTGGTGGAAAGCAGATTGAACCAGGTTTTCCTCTAGGATTTAGCCTGTGCTTAGCTCAATTCCGTTTATTTTTATTCTGAAAAACTCCAAAGTACTTAACAATTACAAGCATACCCATAACATGATGTAGCCACCACTATGCTTGAAAATATGGAGAGTGGTACTCAGTAATGTGTTGTATTGGATTTGCCCCAAACATAACACTTTGTATTCAGGACAAAAAGTGAATTGCTTTGCCACATTTTTTGCAGTATTACTTTAGTGCCTTGTTGCAAACAGGATGCACGTTTTGGAATATTTTTATTCTGTACACACTTCCTTCTTTTCACTCTGTCAATTAGGTTAGTATTGTGGTGTAACTACAATGTTGTTGATCCATCCTCAGGTTTTCTCCTATCACAGCCATTAAACTCTGCAACTGTTTTAAAGTCACCATTGGCCTCATAGTGAAATCCCTGAGCGGTTTCCTTCCTCTCTGGCAACTGAGTTAGGAAGGACACCTATATCTTTGTATTGACTGTGTGTATTGATACACCATCCAAAGTAATGAATAACTTCACAATGCTCAAAGGGATTTTCAATGTCTGCTTTTTATATTTTTACCTATTTACCAGTAGGGATAGAGGATACCTAGTCAGTTGCACAACTGAATGAATTCAACCAAAATGTGTCTTCGACATTAAACCCAGCCTTTCTTTGCGAGGCATTGGAAAACCTCCCTGGTCTTTGTGATTGAATCTGTGTTTGAAATTCACTACACGACTGAGGGACCTTACATACAATTGTATGTGGTGTACAGAGATGAGGTGGTCATTAAAAAATCATTTTAAACACTATTATTGCACACAGAGTGAGTCTATGCAACTTATTATGTGACTTGTTAAGCAAATTTCTACTCCTGAACTTATTTAGGCTTGCCATGACAAAGGGCCTGAATACTTATTGACTCAAGACATTTCCAAGTCCAGAACAGACTATGGGAGGTGCACAGCACTACATAGAGCCATGGCTACATGGAACTCTATTCCACATCAGGTCAGTCAGTCAAATCAGATTCATAGAGCCATGGCTACATGGAACTCTATTCCACATCAGGTCAGTCAGTAAAATCAGATTCATAGAGCCATGACTACATGGAACTCTATTCCACATCAGGTCAGTCAGTAAAATCAGATTCATAGAGCCATGGCTACATGGAACTCTATTCCACATCAGGTCAGTAAAATCAGATTCATAGAGCCATGGCTACATGGAACTCTATTCCACATCAGGTCAGTCAGTCAAATCAGATTCATAGAGCCATGGCTACATGGAACTCTATTCCACATCAGGTCAGTAAAATCAGATTCATAGAGCCATGACTACATGGAACTCTATTCCACATCAGGTCAGTAAAATCAGATTCATAGAGCCATGACTACATGGAACTCTATTCCACATCAGGTCAGTAAAATCAGATTCATAGAGCCATGGCTACATGGAACTCTATTCCACATCAGATCAGTCAGTCAAATCAGATTTAAAAAACAGTCACAAACACTCTGGAGTGAACAGTAGATCCAGAGTGAACAGTAGATCTAGAATGAACAGTAGATCCAGAGTGAACAGTAGATCCAGAGTGAACAGTAGATCTAGAATGAACAGTAGATCCAGAGTGAACAGTAGATCCAGAGTGAACAGTAGATCTACAGTGAACAGTAGATCCAGAATGAACAGTAGATCCAGAATGAACAGTAGATCCAGAGTGAACAGTAGATCCAGAGTGAACAGTAGATCTAGAGTGAACAGTAGATCTAGAGTGAACAGTAGATCCAGAGTGAACAGTAGATCTAGAATGAACAGTAGATCCAGAGTGAACAGTAGATCCAGAGTGAACAGTAGATCCAGAGTGAACAGTAGATCTGAGTGAACAGTAGATCTAGAATGTACAGTAGATCCAGAGTGAACAGTAGATCTACAGTGAACAGTAGATCCAGAATGAACAGTAGATCCAGAATGAACAGTAGATCCAGAGTGAACAGTAGATCCAGAGTGAACAGTAGATCTAGAGTGAACAGTAGATCTAGAGTGAACAGTAGATCTGAGTGAACAGTAGATCTAGAATGAACAGTAGATCCAGAGTGAACAGTAGATCCAGAGTGAACAGTAGATCCAGATTGAACAGTAGATCTGAGTGAACAGTAGATCTAGAATGAACAGTAGATCCAGAGTGAACAGTAGATCCAGAGTGAACAGTAGATCCAGAGTGAACAGTAGATCCAGAGTGAACAGTAGATCCTGAGTGAACAGTAGATCCAGAGTGAACAGTAGATCCAGAGTGAACAGTAGATCCAGAGTGAACAGTAGATCCAGAGTGAACAGTAGATCTGAGTGAACAGTAGATCCAGAGTGAACAGTAGATCCAGAGTGAACAGTAGATCCAGAGTGAACAGTAGATCCAGAGTGAACAGTAGATCTGAGTGAACAGTAGATCCAGAGTGAACAGTAGATCTGAGTGAACAGTAGATCTAAGTGAACAGTAGATCTAGAATGAACAGTAGATCCAGAATGAACAGTAGATCTAGAATGAACAGTAGATCTAGAATGAACAGTAGATCTAGAATGAACAGTAGATCCAGAATGAACAGTAGATCTGAGTGAACAGTAGATCCAGAATGTACAGTAGATCTAGAATGTACAGTAGATCTAGAATGTACAGTAGATCTAGAATGAACAGTAGATCTAGAGTGAACAGTAGATCTAGAATGTACAGTAGATCTAGAATGTACAGTAGATCTAGAATGAACAGTAGATCTGAGTGAACAGTAGATCCAGAATGAACATTAGATCTAGAATGAACAGTAGATCCAGAGTGAACAGTAGATCCAGAATGAACAGTAGATCTGAGTGAACAGTAGATCTGAGTGAACAGTAGATCCAGAGTGAACAGTAGATCCAGAGTGAACAGTAGATCCAGAGTGAACAGTAGATCCAGAGTGAACAGTAGATCCAGAGTGAACAGTAGATCCAGAGTGAACAGTAGATCCAGAGTGAACAGTAGATCCAGAATGTATGTCTGTAACCATGTTTCCATCCAACATCGTTCTGTGAGTAAAGTACATGTCGGATAAAACATTTAAACTTTCCAAATGTCGACTAAACACATTTCGCTAGACAAGGTGGGATCTTTTTTGTGTCAGTAAAATGAATAATGCGAGAAATGTCAGTGGAAATGCTTTTGTGAGCTAATATTGATATAATAATCATGACATGTGACACGTGTGGTCCTCCCACTAGGACTCGTTGGGAAACCATGCAGTTTATCAGGCTACAGATGAAATAAGTTACGATGAACTTCACAGGGTGGTGAACGTGCACGGTGATCCAATAAATATAGAGAAGTCATATTCTGGTGACATGATTGATCGTCGTTGCTTGGCTGCCGTTTGACAAATAAAAATAATCTCGCTCTTTTGTCCATAATGATGTCATCGTGCAGATACAGTGCCCACTGTTGGCTGGAGGGCACATGCCAATACCAGAGTGGGCACTCGCTATGTAACGCAAATGTTTTTTTTGTGAGAAAACCATCAGTAGAGTTGAAAATGAGACGGAAACCCATTTAACTTGTCTTTTTGAATTTGTGAATTTAACCACGAAAGGTATTTTTATGTGCACTAAGTCAATTAGATGGAAATCTCTGGTGGGAAAATCAGCATATTGTTTTTATGCAGATTTTTATAATTATTTGCATGAAAATCTGTTGCCAATTGGATGGAAACTTATTGTCCTAAATGGCCTATTCCCTATATAGTGCACTACTATTGACCAGGGACCCTACGGTGCCATCTGGAATGCAGCGTATATTTCTGAGGGCTGCAGTGTAATTAGAATAGAGTTATGCTCAATATTCCTGCAGTGTAATTAGAATAGAGTTATGCTCAATATTCCTACAGTGTAATTAGTATAGAGTTATGCTCAATATTCCTGCAGTGTAATTAGTATAGAGTTATGCTCAATATTCCTACAGTGTAATTAGAATAGAGTTATGCTCAATATTCCTGCAGTGTAATTAGAATAGAGTTATGCTCAATATTCCTGCAGTGTAATTAGAATAGAGTTATGCTCAATATTCCTGCAGTGTAATTAGAATAGAGTTATGCTCAATATTCCTACTGTGTAATTAGTATAGAGTTATGCTCAATATTCCTGCAGTGTAATTAGTATAGAGTTATGCTCAATATTCCTACAGTGTAATTAGAATAGAGTTATGCTCAATATTCCTGCAGTGTAATTAGAATAGAGTTATGCTCAATATTCCTGCAGTGTAATTAGAATAGAGTTATGCTCAATATTCCTACAGTGTAATTAGTATAGAGTTATGCTCAATATTCCTACAGTGTAATTAGAATAGAGTTATGCTCAATATTCCTGCAGTGTAATTAGTATAGATCGGTGGAGGCTGCTGAGGGGAGAACGGCTCATAGTAATGTCTGGAACGGAGCAAATGGAATGGAATGTCATCAAACACATGGAAACTACGTTTGATACCATTTCCTGTATTCCACTCCAGCCAATATTCCTGCAATGTAATTATTTTATTTAACTAGGCAAGTCAGTTAAGAACAAATAGTTATTTACAATGACGGCCTACCCCGGGCCAATTGTGCGTGGAATATGGAGTGTTGAAGCTAATGACTGTTTTTGTACTGACCTGTGTGTGGCAGCACCTGAACATTTTTACATTTTAGCAGCGACTCTTATCCAGAAAGACTTACAGCAGAGTGCATATGTACTCATACTTCTTCGGACTGGTCCCCCTTGGAAATCGAACCCACAACCCTGGCATGGCGAGTGCCATGCTCTACCAGCTGAGCCACACAAGGCACTACCTGTTAGTGCTGAGGAAAGGGCAGCTTTTTCCTCCTGTTGGTTTAACCTTCCTGGAATGTGGGATCGCTTCGGTCTGAGAGGCATTACTGACTCATATATCACACACACTCAAACACCACGGACTGTGTTACGGGCGAGAAGTGTTAAAAAGAGAAGGGGAGATGAGAGGGGAGAGGAGAGGAGAGGAGGAGGAGGGAGAGGAGAGGAGAGAAGGAGAGGAGAGGGAGGAGAGGAGAGGAGAAGAGAGGAGCGGAGAGGAGAAGAGAGAAAAGGAGATAAGGAAGATTAAGAGAGGAAAGAGGAGAGAGAGAGAGAGAAGAAGAGATGAGAATCAGAGAGGAGGAAGAGAGGAGAGGAGATGAACGAGAGAGGAGAGAGGAGAGGCAAGAGGGGAAGAGAGAGAGGAGGAGAGAGGAGAGGAAGAGAAGAAAGAGGGAGGAGGGAGGAGAGGAAGATGAGGAGAGAAGAGGAGAGAGAGAGAAGAGGGGGAAAGGGAAGAAACGAAGAAGAGAGGAACGAAGGAAGGTAATAATGAGGAGAGAAAGAGGAAGAGAGAGGAGAGAGAAGGAGAGGAGGAGGAGAGGAAAAGGAGCAGGAGGAGAGAGAGAGGAAAAGAGAGGACGGAGAGAGAAGAGGAGCAGGAAGAGAAGAAGAGGAGGAGAGAAGAAAGAGAGAAGAAGAAGTGAAGAGAGCGAGAGGAGAGGAGGGAGAGGAGGAGAGGGGAGAGAGGAGGAGAGGACAGGAGGGTAGAGAAGAAAGGAGATGAGGAGAGAGAGGGAGGAGAAAGAGAGGAGAAGAGGGGAAGAAAAGAACGGAAAGGAGAGGGAAAGAAGGAAGAGAGAGAGAGAGGAAAGAGGAAAGAAGGAAAAGAGAAGCAAGAGGAAAGAAGAGAGAAGGGAGGAGAAGAGAGAAGAGGAGAGGAGAAGGAGGAGGATGAGGAGAGGAGGAAGAGAGGAGAAGGAGGAGAGAGGGAGAGGAGAGGAGAGGAGAGGAAGGGAAGAGGGAAATAAGGAAAGAGGAAGGAGGAGGAGGGAGAGGAGAGGAGAGGAGAGGAAGAGAGAGGAGAGGAGGGAGGAGAGGACGGGGAGAGGAGAGGAGAGAGAGAGAGAGAGGAGAGGAGAGGAGAAGGTCAGGAGAGGGAAGAGAGAGAGGGGAGCGGGAAAAGGGAAATGAGAGGAGGAGAGGAGTGGAGGACGAAGGGGAAAGAGGAGGAGGAGAAGAGGAGAGAAAGAGAGGAAGAGAGAGGGAGAGGAGAGGATAGGAGAAGGGAAAGGAAAGGAGAAGGAGAGGAGAGGAGAGGAAGAGGAGAGGAAAGGAGAGGAGAGGGAGAGAGGAGGAGAGGAGGAAAAACAAAGACGAGAGAGGAGAGGAGAGGAGGGAACGAGGAAAGGAGAGAGGACTGAGGAAAGGAGAAGAGAGAGGGAGACAAGAAGGAGAGAGGAAAGACGAGAAGGAGAGGAGAGGAGAGGAAGGAGGAGAGGAAGAGAAGAGGAGAGAAAGAGGAGAAGGAGAGGAAAGGAGAGGAGAGGAGAGGCAGAAGAGAGAAGAATAGAGGAAGGAGGAACCGAGAGGAGAGAGAGGAGGAGGAGAGGAAGTGGAGGAAGAGGAGAAGGAGGAAGAGGAGGAGGAGGAGAAGAGGGAAAGGAGAGGAGATAGGAAGGAGAGAGAAGAGAACAGGAGAGGGAAACGGAGAGAGGAGAGGAGAGGGAAAGGAGAGAGGAGAGGAGGGAGAGGAGAGGAGAGGAGAGCGAGAGGAATGAGGAGAGGAGAGGAGGAGAGGAGAGGAGAGGAGGGGAGGAGGAGGAGGAGCGAGAGGAAGAGAGGAGAGGAGAGGAGAGGGAGAGGGACAGAGGAGAGGAGAGGAGAGGTAGAGGTGTGAGGAGAGGAAGAGGAGAAAGAAGAGAGATGTGAGAGAGGCGGAGAGGAGGAGAGAGATAGATTTGAGGGAGAGAAGGCTAGAAGAGATGTAATGAGATGATGGTCGAGGAGAGGAGAGGAGAGAGAATAGACGAGAGAGGAAAGAAAGAGGAGGATAGAGGAGAGGAGGAAGGAACTAGAGGAGAGGTGAGATGAGGAGAGGCATAGGAGAAGAAGGAGGAGAGGAAGAAGAGAGGAGAGACGAGGATAGGAAGAGAAGGAAAGGAGAGGAGAGGAGAGCGAGAGAGGAGCAAGGAAGAAGGAAGAGAGGAAGAGGAGAGGATAGAGGAGAGGATGAGGAGAGGAAGAGAGGAGAGAGGAGAGGAGAGGAGAGAGAGGAGAGGAGAGAGAGGAGAGAGGAGAGGGAGCAGGAGGAGAGAGGAGGGAGAGGAGAGGAGAGAGAGGGAGGAGAGGAGAGGAGTAGGAGAAGGAGAGGAGAGAGAGGAAGAGAGAGAGGAGAGGGAGAGGAGGAGAGGAGTGGAGGAGAGGAGGAGAGAGAGAGAGGGAGGAGGGAGAGGAGAGGAGGAGGGAGAGGAGAGGAGAGGGAGAGGAGAGGAGAGGAGAGGAGAGGAGAGGGGAGAGGAGAGGAAGAGGAGAGGAGACGGAGGACGAGAGGCGAGGGAAGAGGAGAGGAGAGGGAGGAGAGGAGCGGATGGGTAAAGGAGAGGAGAGGAGAGGAGAGGAGAGGAGAGGAGAGGAGAAGGAGAGGAGGCGGAGGAGATGGAGAGGATGGAGGAGAGGAGAGAGGAGAGAGGAGATGAGAGGAGAGAGAGAATAGAGAGAGGAGAGACAGTGAGGATGATGGAGAGGAGTGAGGAGTAAAAGAGAGGAGAGGAGAGGAGAGGAGAGGAGAGGACGAGGAGAGGAGAGCGAGAGGAGAAGGAGAGGAGAGGAGAGAGGACTGAGGGAGAGGAGGAGCGAGGAGGAGGGAGGGAGGAGAGAGGAGAGGAAGGCAGAGGAGAGGAGAAGGAGAGGAGATGGAGAGGAGAGGAGAGGAGAGGGAGGAGAGGGAGAAGGAAGAGGAGAGGAGGAGGAGAGGAGAGTAGGAGGACAAGAGGGAGAGGATGGAGGAGAGGAGAGAGGAGAGGAGAGGAGAGGAGAGGAGAGGAGAAGAGAGGAGAGGAGAGGAGAGGAGAGGAGGAGGAGAGGAGAGAGAGGAGAGCGAGAGGAGAGGACGAGGTTGAGTGGGAGGGGACGAGGGAGAGGAGGGGGGGGGTAGGAGAGGAGAGGAGAGGAGAGGAGAGGAGAGAGAGGGAGAGGAGAGGAGAGGAGAGGAGAGGAGAGGAGAGGAGTGGAAGAGAGAGGAGAGGAGAGGAGAGGAGGAGAGGAGAGGAGAGGAGAGGGGTAGAGAAGAGAGGAGAGGAGAGGAGAGGAGGGAGGAGAGGAGAGGAGAGGAGAGGAGGGAGAGGAGGGAGAGGAGAGGAGAGGAGAGGAGAGGAGAGGAGGAGAGCGTTAGCTTCAAACATGTTGATCTTACTTTGATAAATGTCCTGGCAACAGAACTGTGAACTGTAGTCACCTACTCTGTGATACAAAGTACCAGTTGATTTTGAGCCATTTTTTTGGAGGAAAATGGGGGAAGTATAGCGCCTTTCTCTGTAAATCTAGGCTTTCCTCCCTTGTCTTGTGTGGTTGAAGTATGTTGTATGTGTGGCATGTATAGTGTATCTGCAAAGGAACATGGACAGTAGCGTGGGTCGCGTACAGTACAGTGTCAGGTCATTGATGTCACAGTAGAGGTGTGTGCGTGTGTGTGTGTGTGTGTGTGTGTGCGCGCAGGTGTGTGATTAATGCTATCACTCAAACTGCACCTGGAAAAATCCTCACCCCTTCACCGCCACATCTCCCCACGATCCTCCCCACCTTGCCTCACCCCTCCATCCCCCCTGCCTCACCCCTCCATCCCCCCTGCCTCACCCCTCCATCCCACCTGCCTCACCCCTCCACCTTCCCATGCCTCACCCCTCCATCCCCCCTGCTTACACCTCCATCCCCCCTGCCTCACCCCTCCACCTCCCATGCCTCACCCCTCCATCCCCCCTGCCTCAGCCCTCCATCCACCCCGCCTCACCCCTCCATCCCCCCTGCCTCAGCCCTCCATCTCCCCCTGCCTCACCCCTCCATCCCCCCCTGCCTCAGCCCTCCATCTCCCCCTGCCTCACCCCTCCACCTCCCCATGCTTCACCCCTCCATCCCCCCTGCCTCACCCCCTCCATCCCCCCTGCCTCAGCCCTCCATCTCCCCCTGCCTCACCCCTCCATCCCCCCCTGCCTCAGCCCTCCATCTCCCCCTGCCTCACCCCTCCACCTCCCCATCCCCCCTGCCTCACCCCTCCATCTCACCCTGCTTCACCCCTCCACTTCCCCATGCCTCAGCCCTCCATCTCCCCCTGCCTCACCCCTCCAGGGTGCACAACGATTATTTTTACAATCTATCGTGAGGATGGCCGAGAACTCGCCGATTAAAACCCCATCAAAATATGTTGATATATATCAATTTTGTGTAGGGAACACACTTCTGACAAAACAGAATTACATTTTTCCTACAGGGTTTCTTCCATTTTCTGCCATGTTGCAAACTAGCATACAGGAAAAACTCTCTGCAAAATGTGTCCTTCCCAGTCTGAAAACAGCGACGAACATAACACGCAGCACCAAAGGGCATGTGGGGAAGGTTCTTGAAATGTAACATCCAATCAACATTTTGCCGCTTGGAGCCAACAGACCATTCAAACCGTTTTTTGTAATACAAAATTCTCCAGACCTCCAAGGGAGGCGTGACAGCGACATGATTTTGGAGGTATGGCGATGCGACTTCTACTTTTAAGCTAACATATGGAATTGTTTTAAGATGGTCATACCAAGGATAATTTACGGTGCCTTCAGAAAGTGTTCATACCCCTTGACTTATTTAACATTTTGTTGTGTTACAGCCTGAATTCAAAATGAATTAAATTGTAATTTTTTGGTCACTGAACTAAACACAATAGCCCATTATGTCAAAGTGGAATTATGTTTTTAGATATTTTTTAAAATTAATTAAAAATGAAAAGCTGAAATGTCTTGAGTCAATAAGTATTCAACCCCTTTGTTATGGCAAGCCTAAATAAGTTCAGGAGTAAAAATGTGCTTAACATGTCACATAATAAGTTGCATGGACTCCCTCTGTGTGCAATAATAGTGTTTAACACGATTTTTGAATGACTACCTCATCTCTGTACCCCACATACAATTATTGGTATGAGCTGGGCCGTCTCTTTGGCGGAGGGTAGCTTGGGGAGAGGAATGAAGTGGGCGGCTTTGGATAACCAGTCCACAACTGTCAGGATGGCGGTGTTGCCGTCAGACGGGGGAGACCTGTGACAAAGTCCAGGGATATGTGAGACCAGGGACGGTGAGGTACAGGCAGAGGTTGGAGGAGACCAGCCGGAGCTTGCAGAGGAGTTTTATTCTGTGCACAGATCATGCAGGCGGTGACAAATGCGGAGACATCAGGAACCATGATAGGCCACCAAAAGCGTTGTCGCACAAAGGACAGGGTCCGACGGGAGTCCAGGTGGCAGGCAAGCCTGGAGGAGTGGGCCCACTCCAGGACCAAGGAGCGCATGTTCTTCGGTGGAGCGGGCGAAGATGAGGATGTCGTCGAGGTAGACGAAGATGAACCGGTTCAACATGTCACGGAGAACATCATTAACCAGGGCCTGGAACACAGCTGGAGCATTGGTAAGACCAAATGGCATGACCAGATACTCGTAGTGAACGCTGGCCGTGTTGAAGGCAGTCATCCACTCGTCCCCCTCCCGTATCCACACCAGGTGGTAGGCGTTCCGTAGGTCCAGCTTGGAGAACACGTAGGCCCCCTGGAGCGGCTCAAAGGCCAAGGAGATGAGTGGTAGCAGGTAGTGGTTCTTCACCGTGATGTCGTTGAGGCCTCGGTAGTCGATGCACGGGCGCAGGGTTTTGTCCTTCTTCTCCACAAAGAGAACCCTGCGCTGGCAGGGGAGGCAGAAGGACAGATGAACCCGGCAGCTAGGGAGTCCTCAATGTAGGTCTCCATAGCCTTGATCTCCGGACCCGACAGTGAGTACAGTCATCCCTGGGGCGGAGTGGTGGCTGGAAGAAGGTTGAATCCACAGTTGTAGGGTCGGTGCGGCGGAAGCAAAGTAGCCAGGGCCTTACTGAACACCTCCCAGAAGTCATGGTACTCCGCGGGAATGGTGGAGAGGTCCGAGGCAACTTCCGAGCCCCCAGGAAGACGTCCCGGGGCAGGCTGCGCTGACTTCAGGCAATGAGCGTGGCAGAATGGGCTCCAGACCATGATGGCACCAGTCAATAAACGGGTTGTGTCGCTGAAGCCAAGAGAAACCCAATACCATGGGAACCTGAGGAGACTTAATTAGCAGGAATTTGATCGTCTCGCTGTGGTTCCCTGATACTCGTAGGTTGATGCGGGTGGTATTGTGGGTGACCCGGCCTATAGAGCACCCATCCAGTGCTCTAACATCCATGGGAATGGTGAGGGGCTGAGTGGGGATGCCCAGCTCGAACATCAGGGTAGCGTCCATAAAGCTCTCATCAGCCCCAGAGTCGATGAGTACCCGGAGAGATTTCTTCTGGTTCCCCCACAGCAAGATGGCATGAAATGGGGTGCGAGTAACGGGAGAGGAAAAGTTCTCCATATGGCCCACCAGAGTACTCGCTCCTACGAGTGAGCCTGGTCTTTTAGTAGACAGGTGGACACAAAATAACCAGTAGTCCTGCAATACAGGCAACTCTTCGTGTGAAGCCTGTATTGCCATTCGGCTGGAGACAGCCTAGCTCTGCCTAGTTGCATCGGCTCGGGAAGAGGTGAATCGGCAGACTTCGGAGACTCTCGGGGGAATGCCTCGGCGGCGAGGTGGAATCCTTGGGCGGGCGAGTGGAATCGGACATCCTCTCCTTCCTTCGTTCCCGTAGTCGCCCATCGATCCGAATGGTCAAGGAGATGAGCGATTCGAGATCCATCAGTAGCTCCCGGGCTGCAAGCTCGTCCTTTACCTCCTCCGATACTCCGCGCAGGAACGTGTTGAACAGTGCCTCTGGGTTCCAGGCACACTCAGCTGCTAACGTGCGGAAATCCACCGAATAGTCTGCCACACAGTGGGATTCTTGCCAAAGCTGGAGCAACTTCCTGGCAGCCTCTCTCCTGGACAATGGAGCATCGAAAACCCTCTTTACCTCCTGCATGAACTCCTCCAGACTGAAGCATACTGCCGACTGTTGTTCCCACACCGCCGTAGCCCAGGCGAGAGCCCTCCCGGACATCAGCGTGATGAGGCTGTCTTAGAGTGGTCTGAGGAGAAGGAGGAGGGCTGCAGCTCAAAGATGATGAGTGAACACTAAGTGAGAAATGCCCAACAGGTTCCTGACTCTTCAGCGAAGCATTCCGGGGGAGGTAAGCGGGGTTCTCGGGAAACCGGGTGGCCGGGGAGGGGGGCTGGGAGGTTACCGTCATGGTAGGCTGCCTAACAGACAACCCCGGGATTTACTCCAGCAATGTGTTAATCGCTCGGTCTTGGCATTCGGCCAAGGTCTGGAACCCTTCCATGAGACCACGAAGCAACTCCTCGTGCCTTCCAATGGTGGCTCCTTGGGAGGAGATGGCGTTGCGGAGCTGATCCGAGTCTGCTGGGTCATTCTTGGCCAGTTCGTACTATCACGTTTCAGGAGAAGACCCAGATGCAGATAGTGTCGAAGTATCAAAAGTTTATTACAAAAACAGGAGGCAGGCAAACGACAGGTCAAGGGCAGAGGTCAATTATCCAGGGTGGTGTGAAAAGTTACAGAACAGCAGGCAGTCTCAGGGTCAGGGCAGGCAGAATGGTCAAAACCTGGAAAACTAGAAAACAGGAACTTGAGAAAGACAGCAGCAAGGGGAAAAATGCTGGTAGGCTTGACGAAACAAAACAAACTGGCAACAGACAAACAGAGAACACAGGTATAAATACTCAGGGGATAATGGGGAAGATGGGCGACACCTGGAGGGGGGTGGAGACAATCACAAAGACAGGTGAAACAGATCAGGGTGTGACACTAACTTGTATTGACTCAGGGGGTTGAATATTTATTTAATGAAGATGTGTTAGTGTTTTGAGTTTTATTTTCTACAAATATTATAATTTTTCTTCCACTTTGACGTTATAGAATATTTTGTGTAGATTTTTTGACAAACAATGAGAATTAAATCCATTTTAATTCCACTTTCTAACAACAAAATGTGGAAAAACTCAAGGGGTGTTAATACTTTCTGAAGGCGCTGTAGATATTTGATTTGGAATTGTAGGACCCCTGTAGGTATAACAAATATATATATATCTACATTGAATTTGGCCTTACTGCTATTAGCCCATAGAAACGCATTGAATAACGGATAGTAAATCATTTTATCAATAGGAAGTTTGTTTTGAACTGTTTTTCCTCTATGTGATAGATATCAGAAAGCTCATTTGCCCTATTCATTTCCATTCATATTTTGTCCCGGTACCGGGTTACCTTCAGACGAGTCCGTTGACACTCGTTGTAGAGCAAAGCAGAGGTCAAACCATTCAGACGTTTTCGTGACAAAGTCGATTTTCGAGATTTCTCCTGGTCTGACAAAGACTGTGTAGCACTGCCACCTTTCACCGCAGAAGCGGAAGGCCGACATCGGTGGATGCGCCCTTGCAAAAAAATAAAACAGATCTCTCTAGCTTAGAGATTTAGATGGAGATTTTTTTTGTATTTATTTATAATGCGTCGAGCGGAGCATCGGGGGCCTCAAGCTGAGAAATTATTTTAAAATGTATATATTTTAAAAAGCTAATATTATTATATTATGTCCAGCTCATGAGGCCCGTTGATGATTTGAGGCCTGAGGCAATTGCCTCTTCTGCCTAGTGGTAAGTCCGCCAGTGCGTCCAGAACCACCACATCAAACCTGAAAAAAAGCATCTGGAGGTTGTTCACAAAGGCACAAAGCTGGTAGCCAAAGTTCCAGCAATGCGTGAAAGAGGAGAAATCTATACACATTATGATAATAAACAAGGATGCATAAATCATATTTCCAAGTGTTCTAAAAACACACTTATATGACCCCTCTGTGGAACGGTGAGACTCTCACAAACAGGTACGTGCCGGTTGTTCTGCTCTAGGACGCCCCACAGGCCTCACAAAACTCGTCTGAATGTCCCCCGGTACCAGTTGTCTGAATGTCCCCCGGTACCAGTTGAAAAAAAATGAATGGATGTACTGTATATATACAGAGACTGTTTAGAGCCAATAATATGGGGTTAAATACATGTCAAAAAAAATAACAAATGTTTCCTGATCTTTCTTATATCTCTCAGATACAGGACAGACTTCAGAACAAATTTCCTTTGGAGTTTTTGGGGGGACTATCTGTTGTTCCATGTAGTGAAAGGGCTAATAGCAGTAAGGCCAAAAATCATTTTTCATCTTTTTTTTATTATTTTTTATCAAATAGCTAAATGATCCTTGGTATGACCTTATTAAAACAATTCCATATAGTTTAGGAGTCCCCCCCCCCCCCCCCCCATCACTGTGTATGATGACACCACAGGTTGTTAAATATCACTGTGTATGATGACACCACAGGATGTTAAATATCACTGTGTATGATGACACCACAGGATGTTAAATATCACTGTGTATGATGACACCACAGGATGTTAAATATCACTGTGTATGATGACACCACAGGATGTTAAATATCACTGTGTATGATGACACCACAGGATGTTAAATATCACTGTGTATGATGACACCACAGGTTGTTAAATATCACTGTGTATGATGACACCACAGGATGTTAAATATCACTGTGTATGATGACACCACAGGTTGTTAAATATCACTGTGTATGATGACAACACAGGATGTTAAATATCACTGTGTATGATGACACCACAGGATGTTAAATATCACTGTATGATGACACCACAGGTTGTTAAATATCACTGTGATAACACCACAACTATTTTCTCTCTTCCAATTTAGACTTTGTCAGCCAATCTTCCAGACTGTTTGTGTTTCATATCACACAGAGTTCTAGATTTATTCAGAAAGAGGATGGCTAGTCAGCTCTTCTTTATTCACTGATGACGCTACATTACTAGAGGAACTACATCTCATATTCATTCTTTCCTCGTCTCACTAATCAAAGCACACTCAGCTCCATAATGAAAAGCACACTCAGCTCCACACTCAGCTCCATAATGAAACAGTGTCTATTTACAGTCCTTTCTCTTTCAGCCTATCCACAGCCAGTCCTGTCTCTTTCAGCCTATCCACAGCCAGTCCTGTCTCTTTCAGCCTATCCACAGCCAGTCCTTTCTCTTTCAGCCTATCCACAGCCAGTCCTGTCTCTTTCAGCCTATCCACAGCCAGTCCTGTCTCTTTCAGCCTATCCACAGCCAGTCCTGTCTCTTTCAGCCTATCCACAGCCAGTCCTGTCTCTTTCAGCCTATCCACAGCCAGTCCTGTCTCTTACAGCCTATCCACAGCCAGTCCTTTCTCTTTCAGCCTATCCACAGCCAGTCCTTTCTCTTTCAGCCTATCCACGGCCAGTCCTGTCTCTTTCAGCCTATCCACAGCCAGTCCTTTCTCTTTCAGCCTATCCACAGCCAGCATTGGGAAGGTAGAACTCTTTTAATTTGTGTCGTTCCGTCGTCCTGTTGTTCCTGTTGTTGATGTTGTTGATGTTGTAGTATGCTGTTGATGTTGTAGTATGCTGTTTCTCTGTCTGCTACAGGCCTTAGGAAATAGAACGTCATGTTATCGCCTCATTCTGCTACTGATGCAGCTAGAACAGGAGGAATCCATAAGGAATATTCTATTACAGATATATTCTAAATACACATTTCTCTCTCTCTCTCTCTCTCTCTCTCTCTCTCTCTCTCTCTCTCTCTCTCTCTCTCTCTCTCTCTCTCTCTCTCTCTCTCTCTCTCTCTCTCTCTCTCTCTCGACGGGAAGAGAATAGAGCTCAGTCTGGGAAAACTTTCTAAAATAGCAGTTTGTCGTTTTTCACGCAAGCTTCTCTCAAACTGTGTTTCTTTTGATATTTTATTTATAGCTACGGTTCTATTCCAGAAAAGCAAACAGAATAACAAATATTACAGTGTTGAGTTAATATAACTTAACTTATATTATTATAATATTATAGTGTTGAGTTAATATCTCATATTATTATAATATTATAGTGTTGAGTTAATATCTCATATTATTATAATATAGTGTTGAGTTAATATCTCATATTATTATAAAATTATAGTGTTGAGTTAATATCTCATATTATTATAATATAGTGTTGAGTTAATATCTCATATTATTATAAAATTATAGTGTTGAGTTAATATCTCATATTATTATAATATTATAGTGTTGAGTTAATATCTCATATTATTATAATATAGTGTTGAGTTAATATCTCATATTATTATAATATTATAGTGTTGAGTTAATATCTCATATTATTATAATATTATAGTGTTGAGTTAATATCTCATATTATTATAATATAGTGTTGAGTTAATATCTCATAATATTATAGTGTTGAGTTAATATCTTATATTATTAAAATATTAAACTGTTGCGTTAATATGTGTGACTAAACCGAATAAAATGAAGAAGAAACTACACAATGAAAAAAAGATAATTGACATAAAGAATGATAGTAAAAAGCTTTGGAGCACCTTCAATGACATTTTGGGAAAAAAGGCAAACTCAGCTCCATCATTCATTGAATCAGATGGCTCATTCATCACAAAACCAACTGATATTGCCAACTACTTTAATAATTTGTTTCATTGGCAAGATTAGCAAACATAGGCATGACATGCCAGCAACAATTGCTGACACTACACATCCAAGTATATCAGACCAAATTATGAAAGACAAGCATTGTAAAAGTGAGTGTGGAAGAGGTGAACGAATTATTGTTGTCTGTCAACAATACAAGCCAACGGGGTCTGACAACTTGGATGGAAAATGACTGAGAATAATAGCGGACGATATTGCCACTCCTATTTGCCATATTTTCAATTTAAGCCTACTAGAAAGTGCGTGCCCCCAGGCTTGGAGGGAAGCAAAAGTCATTACGCTACCTAAGAATAGTAAAGCCCCCTTTACTGGCTCAAATAGCCGATTAATCAGCCTGTTACCAACCCTCAGTAAACTATTGGAAAAAATGGTGTTTGACCAGATACAATGCTATTTTACAGTAAACAAATTGACAACAAACTTTCAGCATGCTTATAGAGAAGGACATTCAACAAGCACAGCACTTACACAAATGACTGATGATTGGCTGAGCGAAATTGATGATCAGAAGATTGTGGAGGCTGTTTTGTTAGACTTAAGTGCAGCTTTTGACATTATCGATCATAGTCTACTGCTGGAAAAATGTATGTGTTATGGCTATACTCCACCTGCTATATTGTCGATACAGAGTTACCTGTCTAACAGAACACAGAGGGTGTTCTTTAATGGAAGCCTCTCCAACATAATCCAGGTAGAATCAGGAATTCCCCAGGGCAGCTGTCTAGGCCCATTACTTTTTTCAGTCTTTACTAATGACATGCCACTGGCTTGAGTAAAGCCAGAGTGTCTATGTATGCAAGATTTCTGGCTCTCACAGACCTGTAACTTCTTCTTTAAGAGGCTCCTCTGTCCTTCACTCATTACCTGTATTAATGGCACCTGTTTGAACTTGTTATCAGTATAAAAGACACCTGTCCACAACCTCAAACAGTCACACTCCAAACTCCACTATGGCCAAGACCAAAGAGCTGTCAAAGGACACCAGAAACAAAATTGTAGACCTGCACCAGGCTGGGAAGACTGAATCTGCAATAGGCAAGCAGCTTGGTTTGAAGAAATCAACTGTGGGAGCAATTATTAGGAAATGGAAGACATACAAGACCACTGTTAATCTCCCTCGATCTGGGGCTCCATGCAAGATCTCACCCCGTGGGGTCAAAATGATCACAAGACCGGTGAGCAAAAATCCCAGAACCACACGGGGGGACCTAGTGAATGACCTGCAGAGAGCTGGGACCAAAGTAACAAAGCCTACCATCAGTAACACACTACGCCGCCTACTACAAACCTCCTTCCATCAGCAAGGGCATTGAAGATGAAACGTGGCTGGGTCTTTCAGCATGACAATGATCCAAACACACCGCCCGGGCAACGAAGGAGTGGCTTCGTAAGAAGCATTTCAAGGTCCTGGAGTGGCCTAGCCAGTCTCCAGATCTCAACCCCATAGAAAATCTTTGGAGGGAGTTGAAAGTCCGTGTTGCCAAGCGACAGCCCCAAAACATCACTGCTCTAGAGGAGATCTGCATGGAGGAATGGGCCAAAATACCAGCAACAGTGTGTGAAAACCTTGTGAAGACTTACAGAAAACGTTTGACCTGTTTATTGCCAACAAAGGGTATATAACAAAGTATTGAGAAACTTTTGTTATTGACCAAATACTTATTTTCCACCATAATTTGCAAATAAATTCATTAAAAATCCTACAATGTGATTTTCTGGATTTTATTTTCTCATTTTGTCTGTCATAGTTGACGTGTACCTATGATGAAAATTACAGGCCTCTCTCATCTTTTTAATTGGGAGAACTTGCACAATTGGTGGCAGACTAAATACTTTTTTTCCCCACTGTATGTGGTGTTCGGGTCCACTGGACCCGAGGGTAATAAAAGTGTGAAAAAGTGTGTGTTTAGGTGAAAACAAGTAAAAATGAAACAAAAAGGTTTGCTGTGTGCCTTCACTCTGTCTTCCTCCTCCCTACTGTTTCAACATAGCACCAATAACCTGTCTGTCTGTCTCTCTGCCTGTCTCCCTGCCTGTCTGTCTGTCTCCCTGCATGTCTGTCTGTCTCCCTGCCTGTCTGTCTGTCTGTCTCCCTGCCTGTCTGTCTCCCTGCATGTCTGTCTGTCTCCCTGCCTGTCTGTCTGTCTCCCTGCCTGTCTCCCTGCCTGTCTGTCTGTCTGTCTGTCTCCCTGCATGTCTGTCTGTCTCCCTGCCTGTATGTCTGTCTCCCTGCCTGTCTGTCTGTGTGAGTGATGTTGTTGCATGTGTGTGTGTCTGACTCTCCTACCTTGGCCTGCTGTAACTGTATATGTGAGTGAGTGAGTGAGTGAGTGAGTGAGTGAGTGAGTGAGTGAGTGAGTGAGTGAGTGAGTGAGTGAGTGAGTTGTTAGCAAAATTCCTGAACTAAGTGTTTTCATAATAATTATATATTGCAGCCGGTAGCAACAAGAAGAAGTGCTGTGGTGTGTAGAACGGCCTTAATTTGTGTTCAATGGGGCTAATTTAGCATTTCCATAAAATACTGTATGTAAAATGTGTCCTTCCAATTTGTTCAGTTCAAAGCAATAAACATCAATAGTTGTCACGATCGTCAGGGAGAGACCAAGGCGCAGCGTTGCAGGTGAACATATTTATATTTATTTAATGATCACACGATCAAAACAACAAACGAAAAACGTGACGTCTATGGTTTAAACACAAACCAACACGAACAAGAAACCACAAACACAAAGTGAAAGACAGACAGTTAAATATGGCTCCCAATCAGAGACAACCAGCTGACACTCGTTGCCTCTGATTGGGAGTCACTCAGGCCAACATAGAAATACAAACATAGAATTACACACCCTGGCTCAACATAACAGTGTCCCCAGAGCCAGGGCGTGACAATAGTGATGAAAACCTTGTTTCATTTATATTTGTTCAAGTTAAACATGATTAATTCCACCCATGTCTTGATTATAATTGATTTTTGTTTACAAAAAAACACATTATATCAACAAATAAAACGAATAGTGCTTTTATTGATAAATGTGATCTAGCAGATGTAAATGGCAAATATTAACCATGTATGCTGTCTATATTGCTTGTTAATTTATATAAGTCAACATCTAAGTATTAAGTATTTTACGTTAATTGTTCTGGCTGTATAGTTATAAAAACCCAGTAATGTTGTGGGTCCATCAGACCCGCGAATAACAAAAACACCACACAAGGGTTAAATTAAAATAATATTATAGTGTTGAGTTAATAGCTTATTATTATAATAATATAGTGTTGAGTTAATATCTTATTATTATAATATTATTAGAGATAAATGAGAAAACAAGTTGAAGTGTTTCCATGGATACATTTTAGAAAGATTTTATAAATCCACATAACTCTAACTACCCAAAA